CACACACGTATCCACGAGCTATGCTAAACTAGGTCAATGGTGAACATATCTTGTCACAAAGAGGTGTGAAAATCTTTGGACTGCACAGATACCCTCTGGTGCCTTCCACTTTTTTTGTAGTTGGCTTACTTTTGGAGCCTATGGATCACGGTTTGTGAGCACAATTTCGTAATTCTGGCAAACCGGGATTTTAATTTGTTGCTGGCGGTTTGGTAGCAGGTCGCTTTGTGTAGATTTTGACACCGGTGAGAGTAAGAGAGAGAGAGAGAGATCGCGAGACAGACAAGACAGATAGACAGACCAATGGAGATTTGGACAGCCACGAAAGATTTACATTTTGCATTACCCGGATGTGCGTATCATAGATACACACGGACGGACGGACGGACGGACGGACGGACCGACGGACCGACCGACCGACCGACCGACCGACCGACCGACCGAGAAGACAGACAGACAGACAGACAGACAGACAGACAGACAGACAGACAGACAGACAGACAGACAGACAGACAGACAGACAGACAGACAGACAGACAGACAGACAGACAGACAGACAGACAGACAGACAGACAGACAGACAGACAGACAGACAGACAGACAGACAGACAGACAGACAGACAGACAGACAGACAGACAGACAGACAGACAGATAGATAGATAGATAGATAGATAGATAGATAGATAGATAGATAGATAGATAGATAGATAGATAGATAGATAGATAGATAGATAGATAGATAGATAGATAGATAGATCAATAAATACTTTATTTACTTCCGGAATATCAACTAACACAATCTAACTAAGCACGTTGTCTTTAACTGCACAAACCAAATATGCCATACACAAAACTCCTCACATAACTGGCAACGAAGCCCACATCCTACAGAAAAACCATGAAAGTTCCTTAATAACAACAACATCACAGGTACGACACAGCAGACTAACAACAATTCCCTCACGTGTGTGGGGGAATGCCCGACTTTTCAGTTCTGCTCCGAGAAACCAACGGTCACACACACACAACCTCGCGCGGGTCAATACAGTATTCTATGGAAGTCCACGCTCTCTCCCCTTTCGCCTTTCAATTATTTCATTGACTGACGCCGGCTCTTTCAGTTAGCGTGAGAATAAAGGCCGGATCTTCTATTAATTTTTGCTCCAAGACTAAATAAATAGTATTTCCCATTTTGCTCCAAGACAATTTAGGGCAATATTTCCCATTTTGCCCCAAGACAATTTCGGGCAATATTTCCCATTTTGCTCCAAGACAATTTAGGGCAATATTTCCCATTTTGCTACAAGACTATTTAGGGCAATACTTCCCATTTTGCTACAAAACAATTTAGGGCAATATTTCCCAATCTTTATTGTAATTTACATTATTATTTATTTAAAGCATACATATTAATGGTAGCCGGCGTGGTGTAGAGGCTAGACGCTCGCCTGCAAATCTAAAGCTCGTGGGTTAAGTAGTGACATTTTTCACAAACGACCTTAGCTTACAGATCGACCCAGCCTTAAATGGGTTCTAGGTGAAGTTCTAGGAAGTAAAGGCGATCGGTGTTATGTTGACCTAATGAACCACCAAGCGCCGATTGTTCTATAAAATTTAGGTCTAACCCTATATGCCCAATACGCCGTAAGGCGTGGAAAGGGATCCTTTACTTTTATCTATGTCAATAATATTTATTTATTTTTATTTTTCACATTTATCATCGTCAGTCAGCTGGTCCTTTAAATCTTTACAGAAGTCGCTCTGTTCAGGGCACATTTGAAAGTCTCTCTTTCTTTAGCCAGTTCTTCGGCTCTAACTGTTTGTTCAGACAATAGTTACTGTACTTAAAAGTTGAGTCTGTGGCTTTGGCGTTGCGAACGCGCTTCGTAGTGCCCGGGTGCCGGGTTCGATTCCAGCTGTAGACAATTTTGTAGCAGACCGACTTGCGTTGGTTTCGGCAGTGGTATCGAGACTTGTCCGTTTAGTTCACAATGGCGAACTCTTCTTCTTCTTTGCGTCCTCTTTTACCGCTTCGGGTGTCGAGGAAGATATAAGGCCCTGCTTCGTGCTCTTCTGGCTGCTTCGACCATAAACACATTGTGGTGCTGTAGAGTTTCTCTGATGTCATCTTCCCATATTGTTCTTGGTCTACCTCTTGCTCAATGTCCTTCTCCCCTTTTGGTATATGCCTTGTATGGTATAGCATCAGAAGGTATTCTCTCCAAGTGGGCAAACAATTTGATTTTCTGTCTCTGTATGTAATTTAGAATTGGCAAACTACAGAACGTAAATTTGCCTAGACAAACCACAACAGTTTGCAACAACAAAAAATATGCTAGGGTCAGTTATAAAAAGTTATGTACAGGACACGCAAATAATATATACACATATATATATTTCTTTTAAACTGCTGATTCAATAAGTCCGTCATGTGTTTCAACGGACGAACGAAATCCGTCTGCCTGCCTGACAATGTTAACTAGCAGTCTGAAGAAAAAC